TGAGTGCTACCAGCATTGCTGCAGAGGTTGAAGGGGTGGGGGGGGGTCAACCTGTCAGTGCTCAGACCATATGCCACACACTGCATCAAACTGGTCTGCATGGATGTCGTCCCAGAAGGAAGCTTCTTCTAAAGATGATGCACAAGAAAGCCCGCAAACAGTTTGCTGAAGACAAGCAGACTAAGGACATGGATTACTGGAACCATGTCCTGTGATGATAACGACCCCAAACACACCTCCAAGACGACCACTACCTTGCTAAAGAAGCTGAAGGTAAATGTGATGGATTGGCCAAGCATGTCTCCAGATCTAAACCCTATTGAGCATCTCAAGGTCTCTAACATCCACCAGCTCCGTGATGTCGTCATGGAGGAGTGGAAGAGGACTCCAGTGGCAACCTGTGAAGCTCTGGTGAACTCCATGCCCAAGAGGGTTAAGGCAGTGCTGGAAAATAATGGTGGCCACACAAAATATTGACACTTTGGGCCCAATTTGGACATTTTCACTTAGGGGTGTACTCACTTTTGTGGCCAGCGGTTTAGACATTAATGGCTGTGTGTTGAGTTATTTTGAGAGGACAGCAAATTTACACTGTTATACAAGCTGTACACTCACTACTTTACATTGTAGCAAAGTGTCATTTCTTCAGTGTTTCACATGAAAATATATAATAAAATATTAACAAAAATGTGAGGGGTGTACTGACTTCTGTGAGATACTATATATATGAAAGTCTTCATTTTGTTTTTCTTCAGCCATTCAGAGGTGGACTTGCTGGTGTGTTTTGGATCATTGTCCTGCTGCAGAACCCAAGTTCGCTTCAGCTTGAGGTCAAGAAACAGATGGCCGGACATTCTCCTTCAGGATTTTTTGGTAAACAGCAGAATTCATGGTTCCCTTTATTACAGCAAGTCTGCCAGGTCCTGAAGCAGCAAAACAGCCCCAGACCATCACACTACCACCACCATATTTTACTGTTGGTATGATGTTCTTTTTCTGAAATGCAGTGTTACTTTTACGCCAGACGTAATGGGACACACACCTTCCAAAAAGTTAAACTTTTGTCTCGTCAGTCCACAGAGTATTTTCCCAAAAGTCTTGGGGATCATCAAGATGTTTTCTGGCAAAACTGAGACAAACCTTTATGCTCTTTTTGCTCAGCAGCAGTTTTCGTCTTGGAACTCTGCCATGCAGACCATTTTTGCCCAGTCTCTTTCTTATGGTGGAGTCATGAACATTGACCTTAACTGAGGCAAGTGAGGCCTGCAGTTCTTTGGATGTTGTTGTGGGGTCTTTTGTGACCTCTTGGATGAGTCGTCGCTGTGCTCTTGGGGTAATTTTGGTCAGCCGGCCACTCCTGGGAAGGTTCTACACTGTTCCATATTTTTGCCATTTGTGAATAATGGCTCTCACTGTGGTTCGCTGGAGTCCCAATGCTTTAAAAATGGCTTTATAACCATTTCCAGACTGATAGACCTCAATTACTTTCTTTCTCATTTGTTTCTGAATTTCTTTGGATCTCGGCATGATGTCTAGCTTTTGAGGATCTTTTGGTCTACTTCACTTTGTCAGGCAGGTCCTATTTAAGAGATTTCTTGATTGCGAACAGGTGTGGCAGTAATCAGGCCTGGTTGTGGCTAGAGAAATTGAACTCAGGTGTGATAAACCACAGTTTTAACAGGGGGGCAAACACTTCTTCACACAGGGCCATGTAATTTTGGATTTTGTTTTCCCTTAATAATAAAAACATTCATTTAAAAACTGCATGTTGTGTTTACTTGTGTTATCTTTTACTAATATTTAAATTTGTTTGATGATCTGAAACATTAAAGTGTGACAAACAAAAAATCAGGAAGTCAGGAAGGGGGTCAACACTTTTTCACACTACTGTATGTGTATATATATATATATATATATATACAGACACACACATACACTTCTTTTAAATACTCGTGTTAAAAATCACTTACAGCAGAAATACTAGAGAAAAAAGATTGAGAACCACTGGTCTGAAATGAGCCCTCCCAATTTTCTTGCATGAAATTAATTGGATTTTAGCATCATACTCATATAAATTTACAGAAGGACTTTATGATTAATATATCATTTATAATTAATCAGAATTTCCTACACTATCCCTATTTTGTCTGAGTAAACAGTATGGGCATTTCTTCATTAGGGCGATAGGGCAACACACCACCAAAGTGTGAAAGGGAGTTTTTTTTTTCTATCACATTAAACCAAAGTGTTACGCTAGTTTTCACTGTTCACTGTTTGTTCTGCCTCTGGATATATAGTCTAATCAGCGTCAAGTCACGTTGTGGAGTGCTACCTCTTTTTGGGCGATTTCACTCCGGCCGAGAATCGCCCCGAGTGTTCTCATAGACTTCCATACAAAGATTTGTTTTTTTTTCGAACTGCAGGGACTGGAGTGCAATCTCTATGAGTTCTGGAAGGGCTAGCACTAACATGCTTTCATCATCATACGCAACCTTAACTTGTGCAGTGATTGGTGGGAACAAACATACCTCTATTAATTATCTTTAAGCTGAAGTCAGGACTAGTCTGTATGGGCTGTATAAAGCAAACCAGTATCTCACCAGTAAAGTTTTGATGGAAGATGACTGTAATGGAGGTAAAGACAATTACAGTGACATACAGGAGTCAGTGGATATTCTAATTTTCTCTTGATGCACTGACTCCAGCTTCAGTCCTCTCCTTGTGAAGCTCTCACAAGTGTTTGAATCGGCTTTGCTTGACAGCATTCTCAAGCTTGCGGTTATTCCTGTTGCTTGTGCACCTTTTCCTACCCATTTTCTTCCTTCCAGTCAACTTTGCATTTAATATGCTTTGATATAGCACTCTGTGAACAGCCACACCTTTCAGTAATGAGCTTCTGTGACTTACTCTCTTTGTGGAGGGTGTCAATGATCGTCTTCTGAACAATTGCCAAGTCAGCAGTCTTCCCCATTATTGTGGTTTCAAAGAACAAGAGATGGCCAGAATTTATACTGTAGGGATGGTCATTTAATGAAACTCAAATTTAAATATTCTAATATTTTGAGATACTGGATTTTTGACTTGACATGAGCTGTAAGCTCTAATCATCAAAATTAAAACAAAAAACATTTGAAATATTTTACTTTACATGTATTGAATCTAGAATATATGGAAGTTTCATTTTTTGAAATGTTACACAAACAAAACGATATTTTCACGATATTCAATTTTTTTTAAGATGCATCTGTATATGTATGTGACCCTGAACCACACAACCAGTCATAAGAGTAAATCATCTGGAAGCTGAATAAATAAGCTTTCCATTGATGTATGGTTTGTTATGATAGGACAATATTTGTCCGAGATACAACTATTTGAAAATCTGAGGGAGCAAAAAAAAAATCTAAATATTGAGAAAATCGCCTTTAAAGTTGTCCAAATGAAGTTCTTAGCAATGCATATTACTAATCAAAAATTAAGTTTTGATATATTAACCGTAAGACATTTACAAAATATCTTCATGGAACATGATCTTTACTTAATATCCTAATGATTTTTTGGCATAAAAGAAAAATCTATCATTTTGACCCATACAATGTATTGTTGGCTATTGCTACAAATATACCCCAGCGACTTAAGACTGCTTTTGTGCTGCAGTGGTTTGCTGGGCTGCGGCTGATTTCATGCGCGAGGTAAGCTGTCCCAGAAGCGCTCGCCCAAGAGGAAAAATGCGCTACTGCCGTCAGATCTCGATTGCCGAAAATCACATTGTGTTTGATGCAAAACCAACTCGACTAAATCAAAAGAAAAAAAAACACTGTAACTGTATATTTGTTTTCTCAAGCAAAGCCAATTTTAAAAGTCCACTGAAAACATATCTTCTTACATTTTTGGTCATACACAACGTTGAAGATATACGTTATTGCCTACGCGGTACATTTAAAAAAAGTTTATAAAAACGTGTGATATATAAATTTTAATATCAACAAACATCATATTGTTCCCTTTGTTTTGTGTATGCTCCTGTCGCTTACAGTCAGTTAAAGTCCTTCTCTGATTGTATTATTGTTTGCAACGTTACTTTGCAATATTTTTTGGTATTTTGCATGGTCTGTTATTGGAGTAGTGTCACCCGGGTGGGAGTCCTATTCTCTGGGAATAAAAAAAATAATTTAGCAGATGCAGAGAACCCATATATACACGTATATATAATCAAAACATCTATATAACAGAGAAGGGTCTTTTAAACTACACTTTTATAAACATTTTTAAAGAGGCTTAGTGTCTTTTTGCATGGTTTGATAAAAGCATAAATCAACATTGTATTCATAAAGTTAGGCTACTAGTTCATTCAATAGTACTAGACTGGCCATGTTTACTTGCAACGACTAAACAGAGCCAATAAGACATTTTTGAAGGCAATTTACTGTACTTTAAAAAACAATGACTTACGCTGTCCCTTTATCAAACTCTGAATATAAAACCACCTAATTACTATTAATGAGTTAAGTCTTCGACATAAACATTTCCTAAATTCGTCCCAAGTAATGCAAATAACAGATAATGAGCAGAACAGGTTAAAACGATGAAAATAGTCCCGATACTACATCACAAACTGGCGGGCTGCCAAAGCGATAACCCTCCATTTGTAGTCCAACTGTAAGTATAGGCGAATCTCTGCCAGACAAGGGAAATCTTTTTTTAATGACTTACAGTGCATTTGTGATTATTTCGTGACCAGATTCCCGTCAGCAGCGCGGAGGGATATCAGCTGTGCGGCAGCGCACTCTAGTGGACATCCGCGCAACACTACCATCAACTGCTGACCACCAACACAACAACCAGTCAGCACACAGATCAACACACGAGAAGCAGGTCAGCTGCTAAAAGATTTAATAAAAAATTGAAAAGCACAGAAGCGCTCGTTGTACTAAAGCAGATCAAGTACAAAAAATTGTTTAAAAAAAAAACACCTCCAGTTCTAATTACTGTAACATAAAAAAGGAAAATAGAACACTTAATTTCAAAACAAAATCAATGATTTCCCCAATTTGTTACATCACATCTTTTCCAACAGATAACAGCATCCCCAATCTCCACACACACACAATTACATAAAACATCCCAATTAATAACTGCACAGTGCTAATTACACGTTTGCAGATAGCACCCATATCTAAACTTGAACAATTTCAGGAATTTCTCTCTTCTTCTTAGCTTAAACACTTCAGCAATTGCTGATTACTGTGAAAACGTATTTGAATTTGTGTATTGCAAAGTCCACCATTAACATGCCATTTTACACCTGAAAGCTCGCATGCTTATTTACTGCGGTGAAAGACGCTTTATTGAATACTTCCAGTTTTTCAACAAGTTAACCACCCGCCCCCCTTTTTCAACATTGCAGGCTCAAAATATAGATTTACAAAGGCTACATTTGAGTCCAGGCATTAAAACGGGAGAAGAAAAGGGGAAAAGCAAATCATCAGTCGAGAGGAGAGCGCTTGTGACTGAACACATCTGAAAGAGCTATATATATATATATATATATATATATATATATATATATAGGTTTAATTTTATAGCCTGGAGCAGTGGTTCTCAAACTGGGGTACGTGAAGTGACGGAGGGGGTACGCCAACAAAATGCTGAGCTTTGACATTCATTTAATTCTTCCCAGCAAAATGCCACTTCTAGTATAAAAACAGGAAAATGGGAGTGCTGCAAACACTCGTTTATTGAATAATTACTTACTCTCGAATGAATATTAATTATAAATACTGTGATTTAGAGAGATGTGACCCGTCTAATTGAGGAGAACATGATATTAACTGAGAAGTTTTTGTTTGCTGACCAAAAGACAGAACATCAATTAATTCAGTGGTAAGAAATGAATGTAACGTTATCCTAGTTAGAGTCAATATTATTTTGTCAGATATTTTGTTGAAGTCATTGTTATTTGGTGCTTAAGAAACGTAATATGTGGGTTATTATATGGTACATGGTAGTTATAATAAAGAGATCTTACATATTAACGGATTATTCAATCTCATTTAATGCTCCTTATGATGTTTAAATGTGCTCGGATTATACTTAATAATTAAAAATAGTTTGAAACAAGACAAGGTTTAGTACTGATTATTGAGGTCCATATCCGTCCGTCTATGGCTCTTATACTCTACGGGACACGGGAGCACTGGATGATTACTGACGTACAGCAGCGGTATATCGGACCGTGCTACCGCGACTGTCACGAGTGGTTCGGACGGTGTTTAGTGTCTAGCAGCAGCGAGTGCTGGAAGAGTTCCATGTTAAAGCGCACGCAAAGCTGCGCTTTAACATGATGATCTGAATCAGGTGTTCATTTTTGTGAAGCGCTCCTGCTCAAGACCGAGACAGCAGAAAGCGTATCCTGTTTGTTTTCTAAAAAAGCACAACGTATGCTGATATTGTGAGTGCACACAAATAAAAGTAGACCCTTAACAGTCCCGAATGATGTATTACTCTTACCTTTATGAGCAAAAATGACTGGTTGTTTCCACTGTTATAAGAAAATGCAAGTGATCGTACTGGCGACTCCATGTCCTGCAAGGCGCGCTTTAGCTTCTCTGCACAAACGATTGGATACGCTCCTAATAGCACACATTCGTCTAGTTAACCATTTAAGCTAACATTGTTTTTTCAAGCATTTTATATAGGCCTATAGATTTTATTTTAGTCAAGTGGTGATGATTTGAGAAGGCTAAATTGATCAAACATAGGCTATGATTAATTCACTGTCTGCCACTGGCCGTTACTTAAAAAAAACAAACAAACTTGAATTTAACAAACAAAAAAACATTTTCCAAACATATTTCTAAATTAACGTAATAAAGAAACGAAAATATATATATAACCACTTTTGCCATTAAAAACGAAACTGAACTATTTTAATGGCTACAAACACTTTGGATGTGACTGCACACCGCCTCTGGAGAGCGCGAGTACTGAATGGCTTAAAAAGACGGGCAAATAAATAATACGGTTTGATTATTTACTCATCAAACCTACATGCTATAAAGCCATTGAATAAATGTGTGAATATCTATCATTTTAAAGTCAAAAGCTGCGGGAATGAGTAAAACTATGCGATATAGCCTATGCGCAATCCCGCACCGAAATTCAGGACCTGATTAAACACAATTCTATTATACAGAGTTTTGTGAAATAGATTTCAATGACTTTTCCAAAACTTTCTGGGTTTATTTATTTTTCCAAAACTTTTCCAGGCCTGGAAATTGGTGTTTTAAAATTCCATGACTTTTCCAGGTTTTTCATGACCGTACGAACCCTGAGGAGAACATTCTGGGAACCTTCAGAGAACGTAAACAGAACATTCCCTTTAGGCTAGGAGAACGTTCCGAGAACGTTCTATTTACGTTAAGAAAACTTTCCTGGCTAACCAAAAGGGAACGTTCTGGGAACCAAAAGTTGTTAGCTGGGTGAACTGTTCGACTGAACTAAAGGACCCACAGCTGCACTCGGAGAGATGCCTTTAATAACTTCTGTGAACGTCGTGGGTGTGGTTTGATTAAAGCAGAGATAGAGAGATCTGACCTTGATGAGTCCGCCGAAGGAGCGCGAGCGCGTGTGTTTTTTACTGGTCGGAGTCGTGCTCTCGCTCACAGGAGTGCTGGGACTCGACTGCTTGCCGAGCTGAAAACATCAACAACCACACAAGAATTACTGCAAAAAACAGATGCGAGAATAACTGAATGAAAGTGCCACTTTCTAAATACAATTTGTTTTAAATGAATCACAAAATAAATAGCAAAAACGCTGTAAACATTTAAAAAAAAAAAGAGATCTGCTGCCTTTAGTATCATATTATTATGTTAATAAAGCATATTGCAATAGTCTCAAAAGCAAGTTATGAATAATCACTCTAATTACAGCTAAAATAGCATGTAGTGTATTATTGTAGTGTCAATAATACTACTAATAATTCTATATTAATAATATATATATATATATATATATATATACTGTACATAGGCCTGTCACGATAACACCTTTTTGTTGTGCGATATATTTCCCCAGAAATAATTGCGATAAGCGATATTATTGTCATTTTAAAGACCATTTTATGCCACTGAATATATAATCATAATGTAACAGCATAATAATGCAGAAAGGCCTATACACTTCCAAATGACAACAAACTTTTAATTTTTAAGAATATTTAGATCATGGAAATTAAGTATCAAAATATTAGATACCTTAAAAAAACCTGAATAAATAAATAAACATTTTTTAAACAAAAAGTGCAAAGTAGAAAAAAAGAAAAATGCACACAGAACTTGTATGGAGATTTTTCCATCTACAGATTTTTTCTAGACCTTCTTTTCTCTGTAAATGAAGGGTGCACACTATTGCTGAAAAACACAAATAAGAAAAAGCCAACTAAAGGGCTTATATATAATATAACAATAATAATACACACAATTTATTTTGTTGTGTTAAAAACAAAATGCTTGTAAAAATGTCATAAGTTAATATAATAAAAAAGTTATGATATGGTTATGATTATAATAATACTCATCGCAGTAGTGTCATTAATAGTAAGAAAAGGATGCATGATTTTTGATTTTTTTTGTTTTCAATAATGACAAAATAACTATAGGGAAAATTAAAGCTAACAAAATTGTAAAAATAACACTAATATATTATATGTAAAAAAAAAAATAATGATGATAATAATAATAAACAGATTTTTATTTTATTTAAATTAAACTATTGGTGAAAATGTAGGAAAACAACATCAATGGTCTGCTGCTATTAACACTAACAATAACAGGATTTACGTTTACACCGACTGAACTCATGAAGCGGCACGCAATGTGCGGTCACCTGTCGGATGAGTTTTTTCTTCTTGGCAGAGTTTGGCATGTGATCGGTGACGTGTCGACAGAGCTCTCTGAGCGCCTCTTCTGTGTGACTGTCCACTGGCGCTGCGCTCCTCTTACATGCCGACGCGAACGGAGAACCTCCGACCGACAGCAGCTCCAGATCATCCTGACAGCACACACAAGAGCATCAGCACGCTCAAGAACAAGCCCATCCGTGAAGAATGAGCACAGACGCCACAAACCTTGGAGTGGATCAGTCTGGTGTTCGCGAACTGAAGTCTGGCATGTTCCCTCAGATACGCCGGCGCCTTCGCAAGAGAGAAAACAGATGTCACTTGTGCTGCTATTGCTAACTAAAACTATTACAAATCACTTCTGTTGCCTGAAATAAATAAATAAAAATTCAACCTGAAATGACAATGGAAATTAGAAATGTGTCCTTGGAAAATAACTGAAATATGTTTAAGTTGAAGAACTAAAACTACTCAAATAAAATACTGCTGAAATAAAAACAAAGCTAAATACAAATAAAACAACTTATACAAAAAGACTAAAGCACATACTAAAATGACTCAAACTAAAGCTGAAATAAAAATAAATTCAAGTTAAACAGATTTTTTTTAACTCAAAAAAATTACAAAAAGCAATGCTAGAAATGTTTCTTTGGCAAGTAACTGAAATAAATAGCATTGAAGTTGAAGTACTACAATTACTAAACCTAAAGCTGGAATAAAAATAAAGCTAAACAGAAATATTACAAAAATGACAAAAGCACATACAACTAGAAATGTTTTCTTGGGAAGTAATTGAAAAAATGTTTAAGTACTAAAATTACTAAAACTAAAGCTGAAATAATAATAAATTACTTTTTATAATTTTAATTATAACCAAATATTAATATATATATAGAGAGAGAGAGAGAGAGAGAGAGAGAGAGAGAGAGAGAGAGAAATTTCCTTGGCAACTATCTGAATTTTTTTTTAAGTTGATCTACTAACATTACTGAAATGAAATAAATGTAAAAAATAATAAAGATATATGAAATTGTTAAATATTTTTGTGCATATATATATATATATATATAGAAAAATGAAAATATAGAAATGAAGGCTAATTTAAAATATTAATAAATACTATAAAAGCTTATATATATGCTACTAAAAGAACGCGGTGACATGTTACTATGATGTTATTTTCCATCCCATCAGTTATGTGAAAATAAATGCAAAATAAAAAAGCTGCATTTGTAGAAGGTGTGGTGGGAAAAGTACCCGAAAGATCTTCTGGGAGTGTTTGATGAGAAACGCCATGCTGCTGTTCAGTTTCTTCAGGTTCTCCTGAAGGTCACTGGCATTCATCTGAAGAAAGCAGCACATCACACGAGACAAATGATGCCTGAACCAGAGGTATTACAACTAACTAAAACTAAAACCATAAAAAACATGATTTCCATTACTGGAAATGTACCTAAATTAGCTTTTATTTCAGCTAGTTAAAAGTTAGTTCAGCTACATTTTGTATTGTCATTTAGCTTTAGGGATGCACCGAATCTTCGGCAACCGAAATTAATAATAATTATTAGAATAAGCGAAAAGACCGAATAAATTGTACCGAACAATAACGTGACGCGATCAAATAGAGGCAGGCACTAATGCAGCAAACATGTCGGCATTTAAAACTGTCGGAGAAAGACGTAAAAATCATCACAAGCACTGACAGCGAGAGACCGTTTAGCGCTGCATCTCATGTCTCTGATGAGAAGAGGAAGGGTGATTGTTGCTGGTTACTGTATGATGATTGAAATCATGAAATGGCCTCAAACGATTACAGAACGTTATGTAACATGTATTCTGAGCGCTATCTGCTTATAGTCAGGGTTCAAAGTCCAAAGCGCGAGGAAAATCTGCGCTGAAACAGTGTTGCTCGTCAGTCACATTTTTATGAATTTTTTCAATAAAATAAAAAAAGAAGATAATAGTAATTGAAATAGCTACATTTATTATAACATTCACAAATAGTGTTCAAATTAGGATCTGTAATATTTTCTAATGTTTTAAAAGAAGTCTCTTCTCAGCAAGGCTGCATTTATTTGTACAGTAAAAAAAAAAAACATGCCTGATTCAAGAAGGGGGTCTGATGGCCAAAAATATTATATTACTAACTTATTAATTTTAAGTTAAATTGTGCTTTGTTGGTATAGTGTCTGCTAGAATGTTAAAAATGTTCAGTGTTAAGTAAATATTTTTGAATTTTTGTTTTGTAATGGATTTTTTCTTTGAAAAGCAAGACAAAACAGTAAAAAGCACATTTTATGCAATGGTGAAAAAAATGGGCAAAATACATGGGGAAAAAACGCGAAAAACCGTGTTCTGTATTCGGCCCAGTGTTTCATTTTGTTCGGTTTCGGACAAGAATTTTAATTCCAGTGCATCCCTATTTAGCTTAACTTGATGTATATAACTAAAACTGAAATAAAAATGAGTAAAAGTGAAACAAAGACAAAATCGCGCAGAAATACTAAAACTACAATGAAAACCGAAAATCTAAAAACAAAACCGATTAGTAAAAAACAATCCTATTATCTGAAAGACACAAAAACAACGTGAAAAGAAAGCAGCGGCGTACGTTCTTGGGCCAGATGACGTGCGGAGCGAACATGAGCGCGAGGTTGTGCGCGGACATCTTGTTCTTGTCCTGCTGTTTGGCGGTGTGGTAGAGCAGGTCCAGCAGCAGCTTCAGCAGGGTTCGGCTAGCGGTGGGCAGCAGCATCAGCAGCAGCTGCAGCGCCTCGATCTGACGCTCCTTATCCGGCAGACTCGTCTTGTTGCCGTGATCGTCAAACAGGCTCAGCTCTGCGCACACGCAGACGGACAGTGATTACGAGCAGTGTTCATTTCGTTGACCAATAATTTGTCATCATTTTTGAAAATGAGATTTTGAATGACAAAAACTATGATGAAAATTAGGGCTGTGCGATATTGAAAAAAAATGCGATACGTGATACCTTGTTAAAAAATGCGATATTCGATATGCGATACGATATTGCTTAAAGTGTGAAAAATCCATTTAAATGATATTTTAAAATATTTAACAATTAAAATGATAGAACCAATTTGTTTCACATTCATTCTTGGAAAAGAAAGAATCACTACAACTTCTGAAAGTGACCAGCAGTGTTTTAGCAGTACATAAAAAGTAAAGTCACAAATCAGAAAATGTCATTTTAACATCAATGTGAATGACAAATTTTGTTTTATATCATTGTGACTTTGCCTTCCATACACTTTAAGTACTTCTTCATACGCCACAGCAAAAACTATAGTCTGAGAAAGTTCAAACATGATTAAAGGCAAGTGAACAGTCGGTAAAAAAAAAAGAAAGAAAAAGGGGGAAAGAAAGAACAAATACACAATTTAACAGCATAGATCAAATAAACAGTAGTATTCAGGTACAGAAATGTAATAATTAAGTGTAAAATAACACTGCATTGTGTTCACTGTATGAATTAAATTTAGATTAATCTTTGTTATAGCTGTTTTGTTGTTTGATTAACATTAGTGACATATTCAGCAGCATGTATTTATAGGCTGCTGTCCCTTTAAATCCGACTGCACGGATCCAGTATAACGATACAAGAAAATCACTCACTGCTCTTGCCGGAATCACTAGTAGCCCTAATAAAGATTAATCTAAATTTATGTAAATAAATATGCCTGCTTGAAAGAAAGAATGAAGAAAGTGGTAGAAAAAGTTGTTATAAAGAATGCATAATTAGCCTATTTGTATTTCATTAAAAAGAAGACCATGTTCTTGTTTCTTTATGAGAAGTGGTTTCATTTATTTTTAATATAAAAGTTGCGTGTCACAGCAGTTAAATCTGTGGCTATCGTGATAAAACCTTACTTTCAAACCTATACAATAAGTTTGGTCGTTTTAGAGAAACGCTTAATAACATTTTTCTGCATTACACTGTAAATAAACCTACTAATAATAATTAACTGCTGTAGATTTAGTCGACTAAAACAAATCAGATGACTAAAACTAAATGGCATTTTAGTCAAAAGACTAAATGAAAACTTGCTCTGCCGGACCTGTGATCTTCAGGTGAGCGTGCAGGTGCCGCTGGGTCAGCAGGGGCTCGGGCAGCTCCCCCAGGAAGCTCTTGAGGAGCGTGGCCACATCGTTGGGATGGAAGTCACCGGAGGAGAAGTCGATGTCTGCGCCGCTGTTGAGCTGCTCTCTCAGCGTCTGCTGTCTCAGGCTGTTCCCAGGAACCCGAAACAGACCCTCCACATGCAGATCTGCAGGACAGCAACCAGCTCTTCACTCTTTACTTTGTTATTCATTACACAAACATTTTACAGTGGATGTTACAAAAGGCACGGTCACATTCAGTTTGGCAAAATCCAGTCATTTTAATAGAAATCCAGGCAGTCAGGAAATTCGATATTTGAGTTGATATTAAGAATAATATTTATCACAATAATGTCAAAAACAACGACAGTAACAAGCATGATTTTGTTTTTAAATAAATCACACACATAAATAATAATTATAATAAATAATATGAAATCTCACTAATTATAACAAAAATGTATGTAGTGTATTATCATACTGTTAATAATAATAATAATAATAATGGTATGATACACACATATATATATATATATGTTTTTTTCCCCCACCTAAATATAGCAAAAAATGTGTTGCATATTATCATACTGTTAATAGTAATGGAATGAAATACATTATTTTTTAAATAATCCCAAAATTATAGCAAAAATGTATGGTAATAGAATTTTTACCATAAAAAAAAAAATCACTTCAAGGGTCTGTTGTTTAAAAACAGGAAAACAATCAGTCAAGCTATCTCTTCATAGTTTACTTTGCATAAATCATTGTTATTATTTTTAAAACAGAAAAAGTATTGAAGTTTATAATGGTTGTTTAAAGGTGCAGCTACATCTGTTCAGCTAAATTTTGTAAGCAAAACATTTGAAAAAATGAAAAGACTTTAAAAAAAAGAAACTAAAAAAAAAAAAAACATCAGGTTTATTGTGTTCATCTGTAGGGCTGCAAAATTTGGCTTAAAATATTGTGATTATATATCAATATAAGTCAAGATAATTATTATAAAGATTATTATTATTACTAAATAAAGATATTAAATGGTTAATTCACCCAAAAATGAAAACTCTTGTCATTAATTACTCACCCTCGTGTCGTTCCAAACCCGTAAGACCTTCATTCATCTTCGGGACACAAATTAAGATATTTTTGATGAAATCTGACAGACATTTTTGGGTGAACTAACCCTTTAAACTAAGAATCGACTATTGTAACAAAACCATTTCATTATAAAAAAAATAAAAATAAAGTATTTAAGAATAAATATAAAAATGTGAATATAGTAGTAATAATAATACAAATTTTGTTTTATAGAGCACTTTTATTTATGGAAAATCTGGTGTGAATTTGCAATGTTGTGACTTTTTATGTGACTTTCAATGTGAGCTGTGCTTAGTTTAATGAACCTTTTTTGCCTGTAAAATTGCACCATTTTGTTAACATGACTGCACTTCAAGGGCCAGATTTACTAACAGCTTGCGCCAGTGCAAACAGTCTTTTTTTTTTAAATATATTTATTTTTGGTGTTTATGATAGACAGTAGAGAGCAGACAAGAAGCAAAGAGGGAGAGAAAGAGGGGGCAGAATCGAGAAAAGTCCTTGAGCCGGGATTCGAACTCGGGACGCCCGTAACGCAATGCAGTTATATGTCACCACACTGCCCACTAAGCTATCAGCACTGACTCGCAAACTGTCTTTTGGTGTTAAAATAGTCAGGTATAGGTAATAGTACATAGTCAGGATTTACTAAAGACACGCAGTGAAGAATTAGCGCTGAAAAGGCGTACGCCTGAACTTATGGAATATGCATTTCTAGGAGTTTCCCTTTCAGATGCAAAATTTATGGGAGGAGAGTATTCAAATGAATCACGCAACGCGTTTTACTAACATTTGCGCTCGTCAAATTACTGGTATTTGCAGCATTATTTATAGCCCCAAAAAAGCTATTTTGCACTTGAAATGGCTGCAATTATTGTTGCTCTGTGGATTTTTTCCACACGTATTCATTTATTTGGAATGCCAGAAGAACACATTATCCGAATCCGAACACATGCTTATGCTAATTTGTACCGTGCTTGCTAGACTGCGTTGGTCATTATGGAAATGAGATGTTGCGTCTGTATTTTTATTTAAATTTGCGTGTTGTCAGTAAATCACCAGCAGAAATGTCCACGCCCATCAACTCTGTTTTGGAACTACACTCTCGCGCTAATTTGCCCTGTTTAGTAAATCTGGCCCCAAGTGTCTAAATACTTTTGCGGGCCTCTGTATTTAATTACAGTCAGTAGGAGTCAATAGGTTATATATCTTCAAATTCACCTTCTCCAAATTCTGTTATACTGTGCTCACAAATGCATACTTGTATGTTGGATAACAGTTCAAAGCCCCTCAATTGCTCAGTGTATAAACACAGCTAAAGGTCTTATTCCCTACAAAGCCTTTTCTACCGCATTAAAGGACAAACCTTTCAGTTTCTATAAGATATGGTACCCTTTTCTCACTTATCTTGGTATGGAAGAAACACATTTACTAAAGTTAGGAATCCAGAATTTAGCATGGAAAGGTTGAAAGGCTACCCTATTGTATTGTATGTTCACGGTTATACTGTTTTTTTGTTTCTGGTTTTATTTATTTCTCTTTTTTTGTGAATAATAGTTTACGTTCATATCCATATCATTTGTTTATTTGTCTTGTTGAATTTGTATGTATTTGTAACTTGTATGGGTGTTTTGGATTTGTGAAAACCCTGCCAATATCAAAACCTGCAATAAAAAAAATCTAAATAAAAACTCACTTTTGCTGAGGTACACAATGAGTTGATATATCTGGGCTATTCCTTCCTCCGTGAGAGGCATGCCGAACACAACACATTTGTCTGGAAAACAAAACACGTAAACCAGTTAAGAATTAAACACATTTTTTCGATAATAATAGTGTGTGAATTTATTTTTTAACTAAATTACTCTTAGCTTTCTAAAGACTATGTTTCATTGACAGCCTTAGTTTATAATAAATACAGTTTTCATAAATATTTGCAAATAATACATTTGAATTCACTGTCAGTTTAATCTGAGTTCATTACAATTACAGAAGGATTTGGTGGAATAAATTAAACAATGAAATTATTAAATAAACCATTAAATATGGCAATAAATACATTTTGTAAATTGCAACTTGAAATATGTCTTTAAAATAACAAAGTTAAATATACCTTGAAGTAAAACGTAGCAGACAACATAAAACAACTTGTTTTATATATACTTATTGTATATAAAAGTCTATTATGAAAAATATTCATGCAAAAATACTATTTTTATATGATAAGGCATTTGTCACATCGTTTTTACACTACTATTCAAAAGTTTGGGGTGCGTAAGGTTTATTTTATGTTTTTAAAGGGTGTCTCTTCTGCTCACCAAGGCTTCATTAATTTTATAAAAAATACAGTAAAAATTGTGAAATATTATTAAAATGTAAAATAACTGTTTTCTATGTGAATATATTTTAAAATGTAATTTATTTCTGTGATCAAAGCTGTATTTTCAGCATTGCTCCAGTCTTCAGTGTCACATGATCCTTCAGAAATCATAATAATATGCTGATTTGATGCTCAAGAAACATTTCTGATATTATTCTTATCATCAATGTTGGAAACATTTGTGCTGCTCCATATTTTTGTGGGAATCCTGATATATTTTTCTTTCATGATTCTTTGATGAACACTACAGAGAGTTCAAAAGGACAGCCTTTCTTTGAAATAGTAATCTTCTGTAAAATGTATTTTTATTAAACTGAATTTATTTTATATTCACAACTGAATTCATTCTATATCAGTGCCTTCATTTCATTGGGACCCAAATACTGTTAGTCACACAAAGAAACCAATCAGGTCCTGACTTGTTTTGCCTCAGTTTTCACCCGTTACTGTTGACCGCAATGAATCTAGAGCCGGCCAGTCGATAGCAAAACCCTACGGCTGGAAACTAACTCGAACAGCAATCGCTTAACTTCCGAGAACTTCCCAAAACAGACGATGTAATTCTCACACTGAAGGTTATTCAATAGTTTTTGTCAATAGCGTCTGAAATCTTCCCACAGAAGAATCACCGGTGCCTGCACAAGAAGCTCAAAGGCATATCGACAACAGACTGGTGGTAAATTTGTAGGAAGCATGAGGAAGAATTAACGCCCACTGCAGGATGAAACAGAAACAGAATACATAGCTAGTCAATGGAAAATGGATACAATTAAAAAAAAACCTTCTGACCTTTGCGTTTGAGGAAGTTGAACGAGCGGAAGAAGCCTCCGGCTGCAGTGGCGTTGGGCGTCTTGGGCTCCTCGTCTAGTAGCTGTGAGAATTCGGCTCCTGGGAGGTCGATGAGTCGCGTGATGTTACTCAGCACCAGCTCGGTGAAGGCCTCGGGCTGCTCGTGACGCAGCTTCTCCACGAAGAAGTCAGGGTTGAAGATGATGGGCGTTTCTGACTCCTGACTGATCACCACATTGCACACCGTGCCCCTACAAACACACAGATATCATGGCATCATGCCGTTTTTATTGTTTATCTACCCATCAAATTAGGGCTGCACGATTATGACAAAAATCATAATTGTCGATTATTCCCTTGAAATTGTAATTGCGATTATTAATTACGATTATCACAATTTACTTTGAATGAGGTTTATACCATTGTTTGATGCAACTGCAGGCCGTATTTTTATATGAAAATAAACAAGCTGAAAACACTCTAACTGAAAAACCTTTAGTGCTTTTCTATAGTATTAAGCATCAAATGTCAACTATACATGGGATTGGTTTCTTCTTTAAATTATAAAAAAAAGTTAAAATATGAATGGTATTATAATGCTATACTAAAACTAAAACAATGGAAAAACCCTTAAGATAACATGTAGAAAGAAAAAAACATCTTAAGCGTGCAGAATAACAAAAGTGGACTTTGAACGATTAATTTCCGCTTTGAACGATTACGTAATTGTGGCATCCATAATTGTAATCACGATTAGAAATTCGATTAATTGTGCAGCCCTATATCAAATCATTCAAATAAACATGTCATTTTAACACACCTTGACTTAAATAAATCTGAACTTTTTCATTTTCTGAATAAAAATGAACTTTTATATTTTTTGAGGGGCATAAAGTAAACTGTACTTTCATCACAGTACAGAAAAATTATTAAAATAATTAAATTCTTGAAAAAACAAAAAACATGAAGTAATTTTGCATTATCTTTTCTTTTATTAACAAATATATATTTCAACAAAACTGCTTCACTTTCCATTAAAATCTTCGATTAATATAACTTGTCATGTGGTGAAATGTGTGAATCAAGGGCAATAAATCTCTTATAATATCCAATAATTCAAATAAACTAAGCCAAGGTTAGTTCAGGCTTAAAATGTCATGCGGTGCGACTCAAAAACATAATATTTATTAATTAATGATCTAATTCAAGATATTTGTGAAAAACATTTTCAAAGTTAAAAAAAAAGTTATTTATTTTTACTTTTTACTTGATGGTTACACCACATGACACCAAACCGAAACATTAGCAGAAGCTTTCATCCAAAGCGACTTACAAATGAGGACAATGGAAGCAATCAAAATCAACAAAAGAGCAATGATACGCAAGTGCTATAACAAGTCTCAGTTTTTTTTATTTAAATAAAAAGAAAACAGATAGAAAAAGAATAGAGCAAGCTAGTGTTAGAGGTCTTTTTTTGCTTTTGTTAATTGTATAATAAATAACAAGAAAACAAATAGATAGGATACAAAAAAGTTTAGAGAAGCTAGTGTTAGTTCTTTTTTTAAAGAAAACAAGCAGTTAGTAAATGAATTGAGTGCAGGTCTAACATTACATTTTACATTTATGTAAAATGGTATACATTTTTATACCATATGATACAAATACTACATTTGCGTGTAGATTTTTCCTTTTCTTTTGAAGGCCATAAACTGTAAATGTATGCATTTATTGTCATTTTATCCAGCAAAGACAGTTATGGAAGCCTTGAACGAAACAATCCGATTACTTACTAGATTATATACACGAAATATTACACTGTAAAAAAAAATCTGTAGTTTTTACAAAATAATTTTGGCAGCTGTGGTTGCCAGAATAAACAGTATAAAACTGTAATTTACAAACATGAAAATTTGAATGTAAACCAGTAAATTCAACAATGCACACTGCTATTAAAATCGGTTTTGTACCTTTAACTGACAACCACCATAATAATGCAGGTGGTAAAAGAGAAAGCCACATGAAGAATTAAAGCTCATCACAAGTAGCTTCGCCACAAGCAGAAGTATATACTAATATATAGAAGGCGCACAGAGTCATTCATGCAAACACAAAACACCATCATGGTAACACACATGATACTTAAATAATGCATTAAACTTTCATTAAACAACAGAAGATGTAACATAAAGCCCAAATATACATAACTAACAAAAACTATTAACAAAAACATGATTATTTAAACAAAATACTTTCAAATGTGGAGTGTCACGCAGGGAATTCTGGGAATATCAGTTTTTGACTGTAAATTATACATCGATTTGTTATTTTTACTTCTAAAAACTGATACTTTTAAAATTAACAGCATTTTACTGTAAAATTACATGAAATACCTGGTTAGATATTTTACAGTTTTTCCCTGTATATAGCACGGGAACTTACTGTTAACCTATTAACAGTTTTTTCCGTAGCGTTTTTACAAAATTTTACAGTTAAAATCACACTTATTTTTTACAGTGTAGGATATTTTTGCATGCTCATTTAATATAGCCAGCTCTCAACTTAATACAAAATAAACATTTCCCAGATAATATTATTAATAATTTGCTTCGTTTTCAGCGCAATTCTACGTGGATTTGGCAGAAAAGGTTAAATCTATAATGAAATTATTCAAGGAAACGCTGAAATTAAAATAAATAAATAAATGTACAATAAAATGCATGCAGAAATAAATAATATATAAAATGGTATACTAGATACTAGTATACTACATTTCTAATAACCTGGCATGTGTTTAAAACCGATTTTTCCTGTTCTTCTAAAGGCCAAAACCTGTAAATGAACACACAAATGGTCATTTTATCCAACAAAGACAGTGATGGAAGCCTTGAATGAAGAAAAGCGTGCTTAAAACTGCTGTAAAATCCCTTCTGAGCAAGTACAGAGCAGAAATGATTATGTATTATAAAGTATATTGAAAATGTCAAAACATCAAAGAATGAAACAATCCGATAATCGGTAATACCAAGGCAAGAAGCTTTCAGAACACAGCTGTCACCTGGTTTCACTCTTATTTTGGTGGCACTGAAGCACAGCTAGTACTCTGCTATTTACCATGCTCTGAAAGATTCACACATTGATTTCACCAAGGATTTCTCTAAAGAGTGCCCAGTATTACTATGGTAACTTACAGCGCGTTTATGCCCATTCAAAGCTACCACGACGTTTCTACCTCGCTGCTTCCACCCAACAACGTCTTCGCAGTTATTCAAAAGTGTAGATACTTCACTGTATTTTCAGACTATACCTGTTTGACTAACATTTTTGTAAATACAAATTCGTTACCTTCTGTCTCGTTTATTGACATCGGTGTCTTTCTCCGCGGCCATCTTTCATTTTCCGTTTGAATCCGCCGCTGCTGAGGCGTCAACCGCTGCTTAATCAGGATTGGACAGTGAAGGGGGAGTGGGCGGGGCTATGGAGCCAGGCGGGTTTTCCGAGTCCTGATTGGTCTATTCAAATGTTTCAGAGATACACAGATCAGATGTTGATGATTATATTAAAAAAGCGCCCCTTTAAATGTGTAATATTATTTTACATTTACACATTAGCATTTATTTTAGTTTCACTGTTGCTAAAGTGTTAACACTGAATGTTGTCTATATTTAGAAAATAACCGTAATGGCCAAATAAATATTAATCTATGATCAATGTGAATGTACTACTTTATATGAGGCATACATCTCTCTAAATGTATATTTAAAGTCTACAGATTGAATTAAAGTCAGGTGTGAAGTATAAGCATTGTGATTTTGCGTTTTTGAACATTTATAGAAAGGCAATCGACACTTTTGTGCATAGCAGTCACGAGTTTATTTGTTAACATAAAACAACAATGAATAAAATCAAACTGAAAAGTTTGACCAAGTTTAAACATCTTAGCAAACACATGGAAAATCCACATGGAATATGCATCATCTACTCAAAATGTTATGGTAGTCATGGTATATATACTACTGTTTTAAATATGCTGCAAAAATGCTGTTTTAAAAGTAGTCCAATGCACTGTTTGTGTTCAAAGGTCTTATCAGAAATATACTACATGAACTGAAATCAATAAAAAAAGAAAAGGATAAATAAATATAAATATATAAATGTATTTATCAGGGAGAATGTAAAACATCATTAGTGCGAATCTACCAAAAACGATCCCACGTTTGCAGAGTTCGTTACGTCAGATTCCGCCAATCAGTGACACTGATTGTAAATTGTTGTGTGTTAATGTGATGTTTTTATCAGCTGTTTGGACTCTCATTCTGACGGTACCCATCCACATCCATTGGTGAAACATTTAGCTTTTCACTTCTCAAGGCATTAACTGATGGACTGGAGTGGTGTGGATTACTTGTGGATTATTGTGATGTTTTTATCAGCTGTTTGGACTCTCATTCTGACGGCACCCATCCACATCCATTGGTGAAACATTTAGCTTTTCACTTCTCAAGGCATTAACTGATGGACTGGAGTGCTGTGGATTACTTGTGGATTATTGTGATGTTTTTATCAGCTGTTTGGACTCTCATTCTGACGGCACCCATCCACATCCATTGGTGAAACATTTAGCTTTTCACTTCTCAGGGCATTAACTGATGGACTGGAGTAGTGTGGATTACTTGTGGATTATTGTGATGTTTTTATCAGCTAAATTGTTGTGCATATACATATATTTTAAAGTAGTGGGTTACAACATAATCTAAATAAATTACATCTGACATGAATAATGCTTGTAGATTGTATTTATAGGATTTTCACACATTCCTTTCAGTGGGAAACATAACAGTGATATAAGGTGTTAGTGCACTTATATATTGTAAGAGCCATTTTTGTAGAACTGGCTTAAAATATCTCTTCACATGATATTAAACGAAGAAAAACAATGCAAAGACAGTGGCATACAACAGCTGATCTTCAGAAACATAATTTCATCCTCAGGGTGTAGAATAATATGGCATGCTCACTTTGCACCTGTTCAGGTGTTCACTGTCTGGCTTTTTTGTAGGTGCGAGATGGAGGACGTCATCAGGCAGACGCCACAACAGATCAAACACTGTTGCTGTTCTCGAACATTTTCCAGAGATCCTCATGCAGAGCTAAATTACGTGATCCAACATCTGCATGGACTCCATGATGGCCTCATCCTGAACAAAAACAGTTGGTAAAACACAACAAGGAGCATATTAAAGGAACAGTTCATACTAAAATGGAAATCTGCTAAACATTTACTCATTTAATCATGTAGATGAGTTTGTTTCTTCATCAGGTTTGGAGAAATGTAGCATTGCATCAGTGTCTCACCAAAGGATGCTCTGCAGTGAATGGGTGCCGTCAGAATAACAGCTGATAAAAACACCACAGTGTTTGTTTAGAGCATGCTTTGGGCTGTTCTTGCTTGTAAACAGTTCTTGATCTGTGCATATCTCCTGATACTGACAGTATGACTTTTTCATTGGAGGAAACTTTATTATGAAACACGGACTTGTATTTTAGCCAGAAGCGACAGTTTGTCGTTTGGACACTCATTCTGACGGCACCCATCCACATCCATTGGTGAAACATTTAGCTTTTCACTTCTCAAGACATTAACTGATGGACTGGAGTGGTGTGGATTACTTGTGTATTATTGTGATGTTTTTATCAGCTGTTTGGACTCTCATTCTGATGGCACCCATCCACATCCATTGGTGAGCAAGTGATGTAATGCTACATTTCTCCAAATCTGATGAAGAAACAAACTCATCCTAATCTCGGATGGCCTGAGGGTACATTTTCATTTTTCAATTTTTCATTTTTGGTTAACTATTCCTTTAATGTAGACATCACTCCTAATTAATTTTACTTATGTTTGGAGAGTTAATTTTGGACCCTGGATACACCTTAGTTCTTATGTGTCTTTATAATGAGTAATCGCACTCCCATTCTAAAATTTTTTTTTGTATTTTTATTGAATACCAAAAGCATAAAAAATATAGAAATCATAATTAGTTTTCGTCTCGTCCTTTTGATACCTTTTGACACGATTCCAGAAACTCCTCCATTGTGACGACACCATCATTATTGCGATCCATTTTCTGAGTGCAAACAGATAAACGATCAATAAATGAACAATCTGAGACCTAGTAGAAGCATGGCAGGCGTTAGAAGTTTAAAAGAAATAATAATTAGAATTATTCATCTTTTGCTTTACCAAGGCTGCATATTTAGTTGATCAAAAATACAATAAAAACAGTAATATTATGAAATATTTTTACGATTTAAAACAACTCTTTTCCATTTGAATATATTGTAAAATGTAATTTATTTCTGTGATGCGCAGCTGAATTTTCAGCATCATTGCTCCAGTCTTCAGAGTCACACGATCTTCAGAAATCACTCTAATATGCTGATGAAAGAGACAGAGACAGTAAAAAGTCAGCTCTCTTGAAGGTACCTGGAAGAAACTTTCGACATGTTCTCTCGGTGCGCTGTCCTTCATACACGGATGCGTATACTTCCCCATCATATCATAAATAGACTTCATAATATCATTCATCTCCTAAAACAGACAGAATAATTGAATGCAGTAATGGATTCACATAAATGACCAGTTTATGCACCAGAATAAACCTTAAATACACAGTTTAGTGTGACAATAGTCTATACATCTGTGATACCGTACCTCTTTAGTGATGCAGCCATCTTTATTAAGATCATAAAAACTAAAGGCCCAGCACAGTCTCTCAGTGACGGTACCACGCAAGATGATTGACAGGCCAACCACAAAATCCTGAAGCCAATGAGAAATCAGAGACCAGTTAGTGTAAAAGACAGTACAGTTTTAATATGCAACATGATGATAACCGCAAATCTGACATATATCAGTGAAAATATCATTGCTAATATAACACAAAATACATTGACTTTAAGATGCACATTTGACATATTATTGTATATGCTTTGGTATATGCAAATACACTATATGCAAATGGTATACGAATTATATTTATTCATATAAAGTATATGAATAAACAACAAACTGACCTCAAAACTTACTGCTCCGTTTTTGTGTCTGTCAAAAGCCTCAAACAGGAAATGTGCATATGCGCTAGAATCTTAAAACGAATTAAACGTTAACATCTTTCAATTAAATTAATTGAAAGGTTGGAACAAACTGATTTAATCAGCTTCATGAATTATTTCACTCACCTCCATGAGGAAAAAAGTGAGAGTAGATTAACTTAAAAGTCTCTTCATTTACTAATCCAGTGGGACATTCCTACAGCACATAGAAATAATTATAAACAAAAAATATATTGAACAATATTTCATTATTTAATATATTTAATAACAATGAAATGGTTTGAGAAACTGATTGTAAATGGGACAGAGCCCTTTAATATGTATCCAACACGTAAAGAAGAAAACTTTGTAAGCGTAACCTAGCCACGTCACGGAAAAACCCAACCCGATTTCACGAGAAAACGTATTTTACGAGAAAGCGAATGTTTTACAAAATTGCAATTTCGTACAGATTCATACAGTGTGATTTGTTGGAAAACGCATTATAGTGTGGACCTAAGCTGGTCGTACAAAAAATGTAACACGAAAAATCGTTTCGAAAAAATAGTTACGCAACTATCACGTGACTGTGTTGCATTTTTCGCAAAGAGTCTGTCAGCAAACCCACGAAACATGAGTAATCTTTCTTAGTTCACATGTGGAGAGACTAGCCAATCACAACAGAGGTGATTTACATTTAGAAGTCTTAAAGGTACAGAAAAAAAAAAGTGTAGGCGAGAAGCATAAACTAGGGGTGTGCGATATATATCGTCTGCGATAATATCGTAATTGTTGTTTTAACGAGGTGCGATTTGACATTATCGAGTATTTTGCAAAAATCATTCAAAACATCCCTACAGACGTTTTTCTCCAAAAATTACCATGATTACAAATGTGACATTGAATTCAATAAACAATAAGTTAATTAAGAGACTTACGTTTTAGACACCATATTGCTTCTTTTTGCTCTATTTTGCCAACAAAAATAATTCCGAATACAGCCACAGCGCTGTTTTGTGTCTCTGAGCAACATGACGGTGTTTCGTTCCTGAATGAATCAACCGTTTAAATGATTCGGTTCAATCGCAATGACTCGCTTATTAACATTGATTTGCTGCCACCTACTGGCGGTTTTAATTTCACATTTCGGATTTCTTTCTTTTCTTTTCTTTTTTTTGTTGTTGATTTTTTTCATGTTTTAAATCATTTCAAATATCAGTATTCAACGTTTTATGTTTAATATATCAAAACATTATTTATGCATTTGTAATTGCAGGTTAAATGCATTCATGTCTTGCATTAAACAAAATACATGTGTGTA